ACAAGTTGTCATTGTTTGCCGATTATATGATTTTGTACTTTACTGACCTAACTGTGTCCCTACCAACATTGCATAACCTGTTGTCCTGCTTTGATATAATTTCAGGATTGAAGATTAATGATAGTAAGTCACAGATGTTACCATCAAATCTACTGAAGTCAGAGGAAGACTGGATTAAAAAATCCTTTAAATTTCAATGGGTTTCTAAAGCCCTAACATATCTTGGTATCCAAATTCCTCTTGTTCAAGATGAGTTGCTAACACTTAATCATCATACGATGCATTCTGAACTGATCAACACAATATACAATTGGAATAAACTGAATATAAATTGGATTGAAAAATTTAATCTAATTCAATCCTTTATTTTACCCAAATGTATCTTTTTATTTAGAACAATCCCACAGGCTATTCCACTTGCAATTTTTAAACGCTGGAAAACCACTGACCCAGTTTTTATGGGACAAGAAAAAACCCAGAATAAGTTTTTCTATTCTAAAGAGACCCAGATCAATAGGAGGATTTGCCTTACCGGACTTGGCGATATATAATAGAGCAATCTTAATGGCCACTACTCTTAAAATATTACGATAATCTAAAAGACTGGATTGAGCAGGCATTTGTTGTTCCCACATTCTTTAGCATAGTATGTTCTCGAGGAAATCTCTCCTCTGAATCAAGAGACATCATAACTGTAATTTACCCGGCTGTTCAAAGTTGGAAGCGGCACACCCAATCTTTATTACCCAAAATATCTAGGTACTCAACGTATCTCAATCAGAACTGGTTTATACCTGGTACAGATCCTAATCTTGTAAAATACTGGAGAAGTAAAAACATATCTCGCATTGTAGATATTGCCAATAAGCAAGGTGTGAAAAGCAAGGCAATACTGGAACAGTGTTTGGGCAAAACCATACCATACCATGGTTTCTTTATTTACAATTGAGTCACTTATTAATTATTTTGATATAATCAAGCTGATGTCACAGCCATTAACGAAATTAGAATGTCTGATCCGAGACACGGACGGACTAAACAGGGGGCTTATCTCCAAAATTTATTAATTACTGATTCAACACTCCAATGCACCACAGTTGCCATTTCAATCTGCTTGGCAGAAAGATTGTGCAGCAGTACTTAATGATGACATATGGTGCAAATTTTGGAACTCTACTAGCTTCTCTACGCTCTCTATGGCAATACGCTTTCAGAATTTAAAATTCATGACAAGATGGTATGCAACTCCCCAGAAACTTTCATACATATCACCAACAATATCTCTGAGATGTTGGAAAGATTGTAAACAAGTAGGGGACTTTGCCCATTGTTGGTGGGGATGTATAAAAATTAAATCATTTTGGTCAGAAATTCTAAAGATCATTGAAGAGGTCACTGCGGTAAAAGTACCATGTACACCAGAAGTTTTATTTTTAAACACATGGCCACAAGATTTACTAGAGAGATCACATAAGGCTACTATAGAGATCATGCTGGATGCTGCTAAAACCACAATAGCGACTTTTTGGAAAGACACCAAAGTGCCAACAATTGAAACCTGGTTCCATAAATTGTGGAATCATTACCTTATGGATACAGTTACAAACAAATAAAATGTTACCCATCAAAACTCAAAACCAGAGAGGTTTGTTGGAAAGTGGTACCCGGTTTTAGAATACCTATCCCAGCAGCAATTTATTTCCTCTGAATGGTCCCAATTTGAAAAATGGATTTGATGTATTATTTTGGATTGGACGGATGTTATTCTATCTTAAAAACTCTTTATTTCTTTAAGTGAGCGGTATTAAATACTAACTAACAAATAATTTTCTTTAGTTAAAAACTGTTTTGTTATGTTTTGATTGTATTTACATATAGCAGTGGGTCTCACTGCTTCATTGTGAAATGTGTCTAATTTACAATGCTATCAATTTACTCATGTTAATGAGTAATTATATGACATTTATATGTGCAATGTAACAGAATAAGCATAATTCAACGTAATTTGTCATGGTTTAATATGTTAATGCTACCGTTAAAAATAATTAAAAAATTTAAATTAAAAGAAAGACTCCTCTAGGAGGTGAAGATGCAAGCACCTACCCTTCCAAGAGCAGGCTACCAGTTCTCAAAGCTGATTACGGTGGCAAGTTCTCTGATGGGGCTGGGATAGTGCAGGGTTTTGTGAGGCTTGAAGGATCAGTTAGGGAGATACCTTGGGTGCTGCAGTGGGCTACAGGATGGAGTGAGATGATTGGCTCAGACTCCTGGGGCTCTTGTTGTGCATCAAAGTAGGATCCTGGAGATGTCTCAGCCTTCTTCTTTCTGTGGGGGTATCAAGTGCTCATCTGAGTCTCCTATATTTCTTCCTGACAAGGAGAAATCTGTGCTCTGCTTCATGATATCAAACAGGAAGGTTTTGTTTTGCACTTTTAGGACTATTCTCTCTCATGGCGAATTAGCAACCTGGCCTTCTTCAAGATGGCATGAAAATGAATCCCGATATGGCAGCTGTGGAAACAGTGTCAGTGCCCCTTTCTTCTGCTTGCCACTGCTGTTGCTCTCCACCTCTTATGTTGTTGGGACCTCCCACAGCTCAGAAACTCCCTACTAAGGCATTTGGTGTGGAAAAAGGAAAAAGCCCTGTAAGAGGGCTAGAAAGGGAAATGGGACATGGCAGTGAGCTGCCTCGTGCCATTTTGAAAGCAGAGCTTAGCTCTTTCCCCCCTCTCCAGAGTGGCAACATGTGCTCTCTGCTGTCATTCTGCCTATTCCCTTTAAAGCCAAAGAAAAAAACAGGTTTATGCCTTCTTCAACTTAAAGTGAAAAGCCCTAGGAATGGCATGAAATCACTGAATGAGCATGACATCATGTGGCCAATTCCCCTGTAAGGTGGAGTATTCCTGATTTCTATGTGAGAAAAAATCCACATGTGGAAGCAGCCATAAATGGCAGTTAAAACATGAAAAATCAGTTGCGTTTTTATTCTAATTTTTTTCATAACATGTTACCGTAAAAAAGACTCACAATGAATTTACCCTCATGTGATATGCAATGTGTATAAATTCTTTGATTCATTTTTGAGAGTGATGAGAGAAATTAATTCAAAGAACAGTCACAGATATAGTTTATCACAGACATGGTTAAATTGATCTAGTGATTTCTGTTAACTTGTCAGGGGGATCTCCAGTGCTAATTCTGTAACCCCAAGTGCCATTCACTTCAATTGAAGAAGCAAATATAATGTACTTTTGAGCACATACCTGCTCTACTTAAGTCAATGGGAACATTCATGCATGCAAGAACGTTCATTTTATTTTCATAATCATCCTTTGAGCTAAGTTAGGCAAGTGATGTTGACTATAGCTTCATGGCTGTGTAGAGTGCATTTGACCGTGGAGATGTCTCCTAACACTGGATATGATCTGTTTCAATATATGGATTAAGAGACCCCTGTTCAAATAATTACAGGATTTTTCAGTTTACCATTATTTTCTGTTTACAGTTAAGGAACAAGGGATTGGTCTGGTGGCAGAATTGTGCTACAAAGGCTTTTACTGTGGGACGCTTAAAGCGCTCTGTAGCACTCTGAAGCAATTATTTTGGAACTGCTTAATGCATCACATTGAGCCATTTGTGATCCATCACTTGGAGCAACTGCCAATAATTATGTGCATAACTATCTTGGTGCCAGTTCATTTTCAGAAACAAGCACTAAAAATAAATCTGGCAATTAGACAATATAGTCTTGCCATGTTTTCTTTCACTTCATCACTTTGGTGGGTACTGTGGTTAATCAAATGTGTATGTAAACCAGGCTGTTGAACTTTCATGGCTTTTCTTTTAAAAAATTGCCGTTATACGCACAAATAAAAGATAATTGCATGTCAATAATAAAACTTTAGAAAGGTGTTTTGAAGCTGTAAGGTATTGCTGGCTGTGCTGTTAGAAACTACCTTAGCAGTGCTCAGTTGCTTGGAGGGCAATTAAAAGGTTTGTAAACAAACAAAATAAATGTTGATTTTCCTGTCTCTCACTGACCTATTTTTTATTTTCATTGAGCAATAACCTCTCAGCAATCTATCTTGCATTACCTCAAGTACATTTTCAAGAGTAGATAATAAACCTCTCTAGAATGCTGGCTGGCATGTCGAGTAGCCTTATTGCATATAAATTTAGGGAAACTGTTTTGGAAGTTTAAGTTTCTATAATCTGTTATAAACCATTTTCTTATTATAAACCATTATAAACCATATTTGAGTATGGAACCATGAGGTCTTTTTTTTTACGATGTTGTGTCAGGCATAGGAGGTCCAGTAATATAGTATACAACCGTACAAACATCTGGCATAATCGGTCATGTAAAAGTCAGTGGGCCAGTGCTGAAATGGTCACAAGTATGGATAATGGTTGGAACATTTGATTTATTTGTTTTATTTGAGAAAGTAATATTAAGGAGGGAGGGGCTAGCAGTGCCTTTCCCCAGAACTAAGAGTGGGATTCACTATAGAATGGCAAACCCATTTTAAGTAATGTTACATTTTGCTGTAGTTCTGATGTGAACATATATAAAGCTCTCACATACTGAGAAAGATCATTGGTCTGTCTAGCTCTGTACTGCTTGTTCTGTCTGGCATAATCTCTCCAGGTTCTTAGTTAGGGAAAGGCCTTCCCAACACCGGCTGTCCTTTACCATAAGCCTAGGTAATAGGTCCGTAGCTCAATACCTTCTGCATGCATTATTTAAAGATGCCTATAACTCAATCCGAATTATAATAAATTAATTTAAAAGTCTGAATAGCCTTTGATACCATGGGGCATATGTTATTTAGGAAGTTAATTTTACTCCTTGTAGTGCATATTATTTTATAGTTTTTAATAGAATTGTTCCTAACAGTAGTATTATTGTATTACAGATTTTGGCAAAAAATAAATAAATCCTTTTCCCCCTGAATGAGTTGACTTGCACCTCTACATTTACCTTTTTTATCTTTTGTCAGGCTCATACATGATAGTGGAGTCTTCACACCACAGCCACGGAGAAAAGGCTCGACTCCAGCTTCCTACAATGAAAGAAAATGATACTCACTGCATTGATTTCAGCTACCTTTTGTACAGTAAGAAAGGAGCAAGTCCTGGAACTCTGAACATCTTGGTCAGGGTAAACAAGGGACCTCTGGCTAATCCCATTTGGAATGTGACAGGCTCTACTGGCAAAGACTGGCTGCGAGCAGAGTTGGCTGTGAGCACCTTTTGGCCAAACGAATACCAGGTGAGCCAGGAATAATTTTTTTTTATTTTGATTTCTGTTGTTCACTACTGATCATCCTTTCACTTCCTGTTGACATAATGTCTGAAAGGGTTGCTGGAGAATGGGGATCATACTTTGAATTTTCAGTGATCAGAATGTGTAGGACATTGCTTTTGTCCACCACCCTGGGCTCCAGGAGAACAAAAAGCTTGTGGGAGAGCTGGGTGATACATTTCAGGAACACAGCTTGCATCTCAATCTGAAAGCTATCTTTGGAAAGGGGAATGATGCGTCATAGAGTATAGCTTCCTTTCCATCTGCCCAAATTAATTTGCTTTGTGTGTGTGTGTGTGTGTGTGTAGTAAAGGCATTCAAACATTCTTTACCTGCATCCCTGGCAGGCTACAGTCCCTTTCTTCTGAACTTTGGAATCTCTAATTCTTAAGCATTATTTTTTGCAGGTAAGGCTATGTGTTACTTTGCCTAGACTATATCTTCTCTTTCTTTGCTCTTCCTCACTATTCTAAATAAGCACAGCTGATTTTCTGTAGCCACACCGATTCCATTCTTCCACTCTTCCACTCTGTCATCCTAAGGCGGCTGAACCTGGAACAGCCTTCTCCCATATTAGTTAACCTTACTCCATAATGTACTTTAAAATCCACCTTAATATCAAAGATGTCTGTGTATACTCATGCCAGTGGTTTCTGAAGAACTGGAGACCAATGTATGTGTTACTCAAATGCATGTAATGGTAGCTTGATAGTTTTTTTCAAGCAAGAAAATGGGTGGTTTCAGGAGTAGGAAACTGACACCAGTTCTTAGGAGGAGAGGGTGCTTAACATCTTTCCCATCCTCTTTCTTCTGTCCTCCAGCAATGTTTCCTGCCCTAAGATGCTTTAGCTGTATGACTGAATGTCTTTGCTGCTTATCTTATTGCTTAACATGTGGTTTGTATTAGAATCTAATATGTCCCTTTGTACTACTGTGTATGGGAGTAGGAAACAGATTGTGGAGAGGCAGAAGGTTATCTATTAATTGATAAAGCGTTGGTTTATTACCAAAATATTTTATTAAAAGTATTTTTAAATGCAACTGTACACAAGAACTTTACTTTTTGTATCCCCTGCGATTTAATGCTTTGTTTAAGAGTATATTAAAGATAATACTGAGAGAAAGTTAAACATCTTCTCTTCTAGAACAAAGTTTGAGTCCAGTGGCACCTTTAAGACCAACAAAATTTAATTCTTATACCCAGAATTTGTTGGTCTTAAAGGTGCCACTGGTCTCAAACATAGTTTTGTTGCTTCAGGCCAACATGGCTACCCTCCTGAATCAAACTTCTATTTTTCTGTATCAAATGAGAAGTGGGTCATAAGCTTTTATTTACAGAAGCTTCCTATTCTAGTAGAAAAGAGCAAGAGTCCAGTAGTACTTTAAAGACTAACAAAATTTGTGGCAGGGTATGAGCTTTTATTAGTTACTGCTCACTTCTTCAGGGGGATGCATAGTCTTAAGATTCATTATCAGTTGCAATTCAGCAGTCTCTCTTTCTAATCTCCTTTTGAAATTCCTCTGTAAGAGAACTGCTATTGTTAGCTTACTTATTCTTAACTTAATGTCCTGAAAGGTTAAAGTGTTCCCCCACTGGTTCCTGACAGTTGTGGACCTAGGCTGGGTCCTTTCTACCTTCTGCTAAAGATAAATAAAACTTGAAAACCTGGATGTCCCATTGTCTCAAGCATAGGCACCATCACTGTAGGAGTATCAGGATATATGAACTCTATCCGGAGACCATACGTTATTAATACCTCCAGCTATGTACATGATACCACAGACTTTTCAAGAACTGCAGTCCATCAAATGTAGGCAGATCATGAGATGGAAGGCAGGAAGGGTTGCTTCACTGCTTAGTACTTGTGGCCCTTTCTTACATGGCCAGGGAAATGCTGATTGCCACTTTGGGGTCAGGAACCAATTTTTCTCCAGGCCAGTTTGGCCAGGGATCCTGGAGGTTTTTTGTCATCTTCTGGGTGTGGAACAGTGGTCACTGCAGGTGTGGAGGGGGAGGTATTTGTGAATTTCCTGCATTGTGCAGAGGGTTGGACTTGATGACCCCGGAGGTCCCTTCCAACTCTATGATTCTAGGATTCTATGACCATCTCCCAGAAAACAGCATACTAACCACCATGGATGTTGATGCTCTGTACACTCATAAGGATAGACTACAAGCCATTAGAAGCATCTTCCCTGACAACACCATGGCAGATCTTGTAACTGAACTCTGCATGTTTGTTTTCACCCACAAATACTTCAGGTTTGGTGAGAACTTATACCTTCAAATCAGTGGCACAGCCATGGGCACCTGCATGGCTCCACAGTATGCCAACATTTTCATGGCGGATCTAGAACAGTGCTTACTATACTCCTACCCATTGGCACCTCTTCTTTACTTGGGATTAATTGATGATATTTGCATTGTCTGGAGTTTCTAGACCCATGGCAAAGAAGCCCTTGAAAGATTTCACCAGGCTTTCAACAACTTTCACCCCACCAGCAGTCTAACTCTGAATTATTTTACTTACTTATTTATTTGTTTTTGAGATTTCTATCCCACCCTACCCTGGAAACTGACAGATCAGCAAACACATCTTCATGCCTCCAGTTTACCACCCCAACCACATCAAACAATCTATTGTCTGTAATCTATTGCCTGTAGCCAAGCCCTACATTATAGTCACAACTGCTCCAACCTCTCAGACAGAGATACTCACTTGAAAGATCTACAGCAGGAATTTTTGCAACTGCAGTATCCTCCTGATATAGTAAGAAAGACAATTGGAAAGGCCAGAATGATACCCAGGGACAGCTTGCTACAAGGCAAGCCCAAAGAAAAAGACAACAAAACACCACTGGTGTCATATACTGCTCACAATTCAAGTCAGTCCAACATATTATTCATGACCTACAACCCATACTGGATAGTGACAATTTCGTCACATGGGTACTGGGGGCCTGACCTGTTCTTGCTTACAGCCAGCCTGCTAACGTAAAACAGTTTCTCACCAGCAGTGATAAACTATATTACAGTAACATGGACTCTGGTATCTGAAGAAGTGAGCAGTGACTCACAAAGGTCCTACCCTGCCACAAAGTTTGTTTGTCTTTAAGGTGCTGCTGGACTCTTTCTTGCTCTTTTCTACTGCTACAAACAAACATGGCTACCCATCTTGATCTCTTCCTATTATAGTGAGATATTCTAATTCTTAAATACTGCCTAATGGACTTTAGTTGGAAGCCATATAATTTTGTACAGTTTCATTCGGGGAGAGTGCCTGTCAGTATGAACTGTTTTCCTCTTTCTCTTAACAGTGTGGCTTTTTTGGTGTCATTTTGTGAGTGCTTCTTTTAAGAGCATGAGGTCAACACAGCTGCTTAAAAAGCACTGATTGGGGGAGGGATGTTGTTATTTCTTTACAATGCTACTTTTAATGTTGTGTTACACCACGGAGCGCAGTATGAATGTTGCCTTTGTTCAGCTGCAGTTCTTTGTGACAGTGTTCCAGTTCACCAACTTTGTCAATTGCATGTTAGCCTGTAGAGAGTTTAGCAAACACTAGAGGAATGCTATATGTGTTTCAGACAGGATTGACAGCTGTGGATTTGCTTTTAAGAGCTGAATTATAAAATGAAACACAGGCATATTCAGAACCATAACAAGACCAATATTATGAAGGACTGTAGTCTAGAGTAACATGCACACTTTCCATGCTTGCCTTCTCAGACACATCCCCAAGAGCTACATAGGTAAGCCAGACTTGTATGATAATCATCTGTTTATTATATTTATACATATAGGGTGTGACACCAAGGTTATAGTGTCATTTACCTCCTCTTTCACACTCTCAAAATGATTAACTTGAATAATAGAATGTTTAACTTGCAGTTGGTAGGTAGGTGCCAGGAAAGGGAGAGGGAAGAATTTTTTGCTTGGAAATAATTGCCTTGAAATTGGCACATATGTGAATTCCTTGTAATTGTCTGGCAGTGTTTGCTGTTATCATCGCCGCTTAATAGACATTGATCCTGCTGGGAAAGATTGAAGTAAGTTCTGGGAATTTGCTGCCCCACTTGAGTGTTGCTGAGCTTGGAACGTCTATCTTGGCAACAGATTATCTGGGGTGTGTGATGGCAGCCGGTGGGGAGTCGAAGGAAGAGCAGCTAAGCTCGATTTCATCTTGGTTGATTTTTAGTACAGTGGGATTTTTCAGCTTTAGTGAAAGGGGAGAGATTTCATTGTTCAAAGGAAACAGATTTTGTGCCGTCAGCTTTATTTAGACTTTGTTGTGGTTCATACATTTACATGGTGGTGGCTCTACCCTTCCACCAGGGCAACATAACAATGGTAATATGTTCAGACCAAGGGTTCATCTAGACAAGAATTCTGATCCACACAATGGCCACCCAGAACTGCTACAAGTGAGGCACAGAGACCAAAGCCTCCTGTTGTTGCTCTCCTGTTGCTGGTATTCAGAAGGTTATTTCCTATGACAATAACAATGAAATCTATGTCATAATTTTATTAAAACCAACCAAAATGACAAAATATTGTGTGAGCTTTTGAGCTCACCAGAACTCTTAATCTGGCTGGATGTTAGAAAAAAAAAGTTTCAAGGATAGAAGCCAGATTTTTTAGGCCATGATACTAACACCAAACAGAAGTTCAGGCTCCTTAAAGGCTTTTTTTTTTTGGCTATCAGGTCACAACTGTTTTATGGTGACTGGTAGGGTTTTCAAGCCAAGAAATGTTCACAGGTGGTTTGCCATTGCCTTCCTCTGCATCATGACCCCGGTTTTCTTTAGAGGTATTCCATCCAAATACTAGCCAGAGCCGACCCTGCTTAGTTTCTGAGATTGGACTAGATTGAGCTATCTTTGGCTGTCCAGGTCAGGGTCCTTAAAGATTTAACAAAATTTATTCCAGCATGTGCTTTTATGAGTTGGATAGTATTACATGTATC